AGGCATCACGCCTCGGAGGCAAGGAGTAGAAGAATGCTTTAGTTTTTATGCCACATTCGATTTCTGTCCAGTTGTAATATGGCTGTTTCATCTGAAGCCTGACGATTGCTTTTGTCCTTACTTTACTATCTGTAATTCTAGTTCATGAGTCTTCATCATTCAACACTTTTGTCTTGTCTTCCAAGTTATCAGAACCGGTCATTATTTCTCTTATCTGCTGCTCTATGTACAACTTAGTTAAGAGTATCCAACCAGGGACTTCCCTGGTGGTCCAGTGTAAAGAATCCGCCTTCCAATGCAGGGGATGTGGGTTCGATCCCTGGTTGGGGAACTAAGATCTTATATACTGTGGGGCAGCTAAGCCAGCACGCCACAACTATTGAGCTCGCGTGCCTCAACTAGGGAGAGAAAACCCACACGCCACAACTAGAGAGAGAAAACCTGCATGTCGCAACTAGAGAGAAACCCGTGTGCCTCAATGAAGATTCTGCGTGCCACAACTAAGACCTGACACAGCCAAAAAAAAAAAAAGGAAAATAAATAAATGAATATTGAAAAGAAAAGAATATCCAACCGTATACTGGTAGTAACTATTATCTCCCCTCGAGTATGAATGGAGAACCTTAGGGGGAAAACAAAAAGAAACTAGAAAGCACGAAATTTCATCAGGTTCGGTGTCTGATTTTGAGTATTATAAGTATAGGAAGTCCTTATTTGCTACAGTTGTTTTTGGCTCTCAACGAATCCCTTAACTAGTTATTGATGTTATATTGTAAATGATCTGTCTTTTATTCTTTATTCTTGGAGTGACAGCTTTCTTACTCATTATTTTGTTGCCCATAGTACGTAGTAGCACCTCATGACTATTTCCCAGGTCCATTCATTTGTTTTTCCTTCATCTTGGTCACTCTGTCTTATCCTCTGAGTCTTCTAACAAACCTTTGCACGCACCCCTGTTCAGTCTGTTTTCCGCCCAGCAGCAGCCAGTGTTCACGTACACCTTTAATCTGATCATGTTAACCCCCTACTCAAAACTTTCAGTGACATTTAGGATAAGCAAGCCCTTAGCATGGCCAAGGAGGCCCTTTGTGGCGGGACCCCGGGCTGCATCTCCAGCTTTCCATCGTGTTGCTGGTCCAGCTGGTTTGTAGGACCCGTGATGAGGCTGATCCCAGCTCCATGAAAGTGCGCTCTTTCCTCCTAGGTGCCTCTTTGGTCTAGGGGACGACTCTGGCCCTGTTGCTCCTGCATGGCTCATTTATCCTTAAAGCCTCAGATTAAATGTCGCTTCCCCAGGGATGCCTAACTTCCAGGGTTAGGCCAGGCTTTCCTTTTCTAGCTCCATAGTACCTTGAAATCCTGAAGTTGCCCAAAGAGACTGGCAGCGGAATTAGCTCACCGACAAGTCTCCTAGACCACAATGATTTAGCATATTTGAAAGTGAAAGTTTTTATATGTGGACACGCATCTCCTGATGTCCTGCTCATTTCCTCTTTTCCTTCTAGGTAGCTGGTTTTACACATTTAAACTTACCTGACTCCCTGGCAGCGCTCTGTGTGCTTGTAACTAATTGGTTATTTGCACTTTGTTTACCTTTTGCTTTCTCTGCTAGATAGTCAGCCCTTTGTGGGCTGTATGCTGAGCCCAGTGCCTAGCAGGTAGTGAGATACTTAATAATTCCTGACCCTCTGGTTCAAGACCTAAAGCACAACAGATGATATTTCAATGGTTGTTGAACTGAATGTTTGTAAACCCCGTGTTTGTATTCCCGTGACAGACTTTGCCATTTTTAACCTGGGGTCCCGTTTTCCTCTGCTGGTTTTGCCATTCCTGGATTAGAAAAGCTGTTAACTTTCTGTTACATATTTGCTGTAGCCTCTTACTGTCCATTTTATACTTTAGTTCACTTAGTTACATATTAAGTGTTTGAATCCATTCCATATACTTTTGGGAGAGGTCTTTAGCTATTTTTTCTCCTTTACAAGAACGGAGCAGTCATGCAGACCTGAGACCCCTGTGTGTAAATATTGTTTTATCACTTAACCGATGTAAAGAAAAACATGCCTGCCATCTGAAGTTTTCCCTCACAATTTTAATTAACTCTCCTGAGCCCAGTGTGGGTTACTAAGAATAAGGGCCAAAATCTTCACGTCCCATTCGAGTTACTTCTTAAAACAGCCTGGTTTTCTGGGCATCTTGCCTCGATTCTTGCTCCAGAAGGATGCTGTGCATAGAAGAGCAAGAGGAGGTGGAATCTTGGTTGTGAGCTCCGTAGTGCCAAGGTGATGGCAAAGCCGGGCCAACGCTGAAATGTTTAGGGCCGACAGTAAAGAGCCGTTTTGCTGTTCAGGAGTGGGGTTGGGGGATTACAAGTGATTTTTTTTCCCCACAAAATTCATAGCCTGGAGAAAATGGTTGAAGACAAGAGACTATCAGTTGCAGCTATAGTTACTTGGTAGTGAACTTGAAGCACATAACTTCTCAGGCTTTATAACCATCACGTGGGGAGAAAGCCTAACGCCTGTGGGTGTGAACATTGGGGGCATCACATGTTTGTATTTGGAATGATGCTTTTGGAGTGCTGCATGCTTTATAGTACTTTATAAAAATTGTAGCGATTATTGAATTGCACTTGATTCTTGCAGCTTGCTTTACTTGTAAGAGATTACCCAATACTTGAAAATGAGATGAAGTACTGTTACAGGAGTGTTAACTTTAAAAAGTGTATTCAGGGGCTTCCCCGGTGGCACAGTGGTTGAGAGTCTGCCTGCCGATGCAGGGGACACAGGTTCGTGCCCCGGTCCGGGAGGATCCCGCATGCCGCAGAGCGGCTGGGCCCGTGGGCCATGGCCGCTGGGCCTTTGCGTCTGGAGCCTGTGCTCCGCAGCGGGAGACGCCACAGTGGTGGGAGGCCCGCATACCGCAAAAACAAAACAAAACAAAACAAAAACAAGTATATTCAGTATCAAAGGAGAATGAATGTTTACTTTCCATTTCAACCATCTATTTTCATTTCCAGCTGTCTATGGTTTGGAGTATTCTACCTTTTCATTCCTTTCCAGAAAGGTTCATTTTTAATACTTTTGATCAAATATACAAAATTTGTTTCATTGGAGAAACCACCACAGTTGAAGAGGAATTATTAATGGCTTTTCTACCTAGGACTACTTCCCAATATGATGAGTTTTCTGGAAGGCTCTCTAAATATCCAAATAAACTGAACTGAGAAAGATTGGCATTTGGCCCTGAGGACCAACCCAGAGCTCTAAGGAAATACAGAGGAAACACCCTAAACAGTTAACAGTGCTATCTTCTTGGAAGTGGAACTGGGATGGGGTGAAAGATGATTTTCTGCTTTCACTCTGCCCATGCCTGGGTAAAGATAACATGTTATCTTTTATAAATAAAATTTAATCATTACTACCACCCCACACCTATTAGAATGGCTACTTTCAAAAAAAAAAAAAGAGAGAAAATTACAAGTGTTGGTGAAGAAAGATACGGAGAAATTGGAACCCTGTGCATTGTTAGTGGGAATGAGCAACATCAAAAAAAAAAAAATTACATTTGACCCCTCTGGTGAGACAAAACTATTTCTCCCTACTCACGGGACACTTCTGTACTCAGAATGGTGTGGGTTTCTCTGCACTAAGCAATTCTCCAATTCTCTGTGGAGACCAAGTGTCCTATGATTGAACTCAGTTTTGACACTAAGTAGAGTTCATGAAGACCCAGCGGATCAAGGGCTCAAGACTGCCCCCTACTGCTTCAGATGCCAGTTACAAGTCCAGGTTGTCAACTGTGCTTTTGGTTATAAATCAGGCATTCCCATGACCCTGTCCTTGAGTTTGATAATTTGCTAGAATGCCTCACAGAACTCTGGAAAACAGTTTACTTACTGTTGCTGATTTATTACAAAGGATATTTTAATGGGAACAGACGAAGAGATTCATGAAGAGATGTATAGGGCAAAGTATGGAGGAAGGGGCTTGGAGTTCCCATGTCTTCTCTAGGTGCTCTCCCTCCAGCATCTTCATGGGCTCACCAGCCTGCAAGCTCTCTGAACCCCAGGGATTTTTATGGAGGCTTCATTGTGCAGGAATGATTGATTAAATCGTTGGCCATTGGTGTTTGAAGTCAATTTCCAGCCCTATCCCACTCCTGGGAGGTGTATGGGTGGAGTGGAGCTGAAAGTTCTAATCCTCTAATCACATGGTTGGTTCCCTTGGCAACCGGCCCTCATCCTGAGACTTTCCAGGAGCCCCCCAGTCCCGTCAGCTCATTAATATACAAAATGACACATCATTGCAGAGATTCTAAGGGTTTTAGGAGCTGTGTGCCAGGAAATAGGGTCAGAGACCAGACATATATTTATTATGTCATGCTGGACAACTCCACTTGTGGGTATATACCCAAGAGAATTGGAAGCAGGGTCTCAAGGAGATATTTGTACACCTGTGTTGATAGCAGCCTTGTTTACAGTAGCCGTGTGGAAACAAGCCACATGTCCGTTGGTGGATGAATGGATAAGCAAAATGTGGTCTGTACATACAATGGAATTCTGTTCAGCCTTAAAAAGGAAGGAAATTTTGACACACGCTATAGTATGGATGAAAATGGAGGATACTTTACTAAGTGAAATAAGCAAGTCACAAAAAAGGCAAATACTGTATGAGTCCACTTCTAAGAGTTACGTCATCAAATTCACAGAGACAGAAGGTAGAAGGGTGGTTGCCAGGGGCTGTGAGGAGGGGAAATGGGGACTTTTTCATGGGTACAGAGTTTTAGTTTTACAAGATGAAGAGTTCTGGAGACTGGACTCAACACTGCTCAACTGTGTAGTTAAAAATGGTGAAGATGGTATATTTTATGTTCTGTGTATTTTATCACAATTAAAATTTTAAAAGAAACAATTACCACAATGAAAACTTAGAAAGTAGAAAAGGAGGTTTGTTTTTCGCAGCCAAGGAGTAACCTGATCTGTTCCTGGTGTCTTGCAGGCCTGGAGTTTCTTTGACAATGCAGGCGTTTTCGGAAGAGGAGAGGAAGCAGTGGTTGGAAGCTCTGGGTGGAAAAGAAGCTGTAAGAATAACCAATGGTTGAGTTTTATTTCAAATCCTGTAGAGTTGGCTTGTGTTTGTGTTCATGTTGTTTTTGCTTTATAGTATTTGAAAAAAGTCCCCTGCTGAAACTGGTGTCTGAATTCCTCTCGGAAGCATTCGGTATTCTAGAACTTCGGCTTGAGGTAGCAGGGGCACACAGGAGACTGATACATCGTTAGTTTTTATTTTCCTTGACTTTGCCGCTAGGATTTGCTTTGCTTGAGGAAGTCATCTGAATCCTCAATTTCTTTTTTCCTACCTGTGATGGTACTTTGGGTGATGACCACAATAAATGCTTGCAGTTTGATCTCAGTGGAGCTGGAACAGTAAACATGAGGCTGTGCAGGCAGTATTAGAAGGGACGGCTGTACTTGTTTTTCATCATTTGACAATTTCTGGTTCAGCCTAATGATTCGCAGTGTGCAGTATCATGTAGCCGTAGTGAATGGGCCTCTGTATTCAGATTGGTTTGAGGAATAAATGAAAGGCAGTGCTAGAGATCCAGAGGCACAGGACTTCAGTCAGTTTGCCGCTTTATTCAAGCACTACCTTCCTCTCAGTGGACTGGTGGCATTTGGGAGCTGAGAATTGGATAGCTCATCTATTGAATGGGGGACTTAGTGAGGATAATTATAGAAAACACCAGAGAACCAATTTCAGTCAATGCTGCTTACAGTCTTACGCCTCTGAACACACCGCCAGTGCAGGCACCAGGTGGGCTTACCTGGAGAGCATTTGCCATTTCAGCAGGATTTAAAATAAAAAGAGGAAAGAGCATGATTTGCAAAGTGGAAGAGGGGTCATATATAGTAAAAAGAGAGGTATCAGGATAGAGCTTTTGAAACGGGCAAAATATATTGTTATCTGATGGTAGTGGAGCACCCTGAGAGTGCAGGAAATAAGGCAAAGAGGCTGGGCAGCACCGCGTGTGACAGTCTTGATGCGGTGTTTGAGAAACGGAAGCCCAAATTACATCTTTTAAAAATAAATCCTGTATAGGAGAAGGTATCATTCTTGGAGGAAAAAAGTAGTGATTGGAATTGTGTATCATTTTCTTATACTTGATCTGCATTTAGCCTCCTTGGTTTTATTTCTATTTACTCTTAATTTGTCCTTGAAAATTTTAGCTGGGAGTCGGGAGTACTTCCAGCATTGACAGTTGCTGAGATCCAAAACAGGTTATCCGAATCGTCTCTAGTACAGGGAAGGCAGTGACTGGGACTTGTCCCCCCGGAGATTCAAGAAGTTCTTTGGAAAGTGAGTTTGCCTATTTGCATAGCAAAATGATTCCATGACTAAGTCATGAAGAAATAAGTCTATTGCCAAAGGCAGTGTAACCTTGAAGACGTATACGCTCTCCTTTAGAGTGAAAAAGCTAAGTAATTAATTCAAGATATACAGACAAAGGCAAGTATGTAGAAAGAAAATAAATATTCAGCTATGTGTTTACAAGGGGACACTTAAGGCACTGTGTATTTTTTCCAGGTGTTGTATGGGCCTTGCAAATAATGGGACAGCGCTAGAATTCTCAGAGGCAGCCTGGGATCATCACCTTGATATTTCAGATGTGGTTATTAAAATTATGGGCAGCAGTCATGTGTTTCTTAAGTAAACAGCAGATTTTAGAAATAGTGATGAAAAAAATGAGCTTACTGATTAGAATGCAGCCGTTCATTTGAGCATTTCAAATTTACATGAACTTTCAGTCCTGGCCCCTTCATCTTAATTTTGCTACTTTGGCAATATCTCAGGGAGAGACAAAGGAGACCCAGAGTGCTCTTTTTTGTTACCTACCTTTGCATGATAGGTGATTAACCAATGTCAGTGTATTTTTTGTACAGTCCCTAGGTGTGCCTTCTAGAATCACTTTTACTGATTTGCTAAAAATATTGTTTCCCCCTTTTCTCTTTTATTAGGTGTTCCCTAGTTTTAATAGAGCCATCATCCCAAGACCAGAAGGAAGTAAGTGCTAATTTATAAAAATGACTGTTGTCTCCCTTTCTCATGAGTTATTTTGTTTTTATTACTGATGTCAAACTGTTGCTGGGTGCTTACTCTCTGTACCCTGTCTGTGTTAGTCCTCTATGTAGTAGATGTCTTATTCATTGAGGACCTCCTCAAATTTTCCTGGACAGCTGTAACCCTCCTTGATCTTTCCCATCTCTGAGCGTTTTTCTTTCCAGTCTTCTATACAAAACCAAAAAAAACTTTCTCTGTAATTCACTTTGGTATTTGTTTTTATAGCCACAAATGAATACGTAAGAGTTTCAGTTACGCATCTGTCAGCTTCCTAAGTTGTAAACTCCTGTGGATAGGAACTGTTTACCAGCTCCCCTGTTCTCAACCCTTCTCACCTCCACCCTTAATATCCTTTATCCTTAAAGTCTCTTGAGTATGGGCTGTACAAATAGTATAGCATTGCACCTTAGAAAATAAAACAAACAACAACCAAACACGTTCAGGTATTCTAGGACAATAATTTTCACTTGCACTGTATGCACTAGAGGAAAAGGAAGTACTCCCTAGCTCTGTACTCTTGATTTGTACTGAGATAAAGTGAAAATGTGATCAAATTTGTTGGATTCTTTATGAATCTACTTTTAATATCTTTGGAGGAATGAAGCTACATTTGTCAGATGTCCACAGTTTGGAAACATTGTTAAATACCCATGATTTTGAAATGATCATGACGTGCATCTCACTTAGCCTGCCACTGGACCTGGTGCCGTGGAAGGTTGTCAGTCACTGAAGTACCTCTTCTTCCCCTTTGTCCTTTCTTTTGCTTTTCTTTCTCTTCCCTCTTTCTCTTTTCCCCTCTTTCCTTTTCTTTTTCCTTTCTTTTCTTGTTTTTATAGAAAAATGAAAACATGCCTTGTTTTGGAAAAGTAGTTTTGCTAAGCAGAAAGAAACACTTGCATTTTATATAAATGTTGTGAATAGTGGATCCTGAAAAAAGTAAACCACTGCCCAATTTTCCTCCTTAAAATGCTGTCCGAGCTTAGTTTTAAATCTGCAAAGTTTATTTTCATGACTTGTTCATGCTATCCCCTCTGAGAACAGTTATTTAGTATTCCTGCTCCTGAGTTCTAAATACAGAATAAAGCATTCACTTTCCCTGATTGCATTTTTGAAACAAGAATTGCCTTTTATTAGGGTATTCAAATAGGTCAGCCTAATCATGGTTACGTATCCATATTAGAAAAAAATATAAAATTATATTTTCAAAATCTATTTTTGCTACACGAATCATCTATTTTAAATTCATTATGAAAATAATAAAATATTAAATGCTTAGGGCATGGTATAAAATATGAAAAAAAATTTCAAGCTCATGGCTCAAATACCATTTTTTAAAAGTATTAAAAACATTTTCCCCCAGGTTAAAAAAAAAAAAAAAGTTTTGTGTTTTCCAGCTTGTCAAGAAATTTAAGAACTTTCACTCATATATATAATTAAAAAAGAAACCTGAGCTGTTGCTGGAATTTGGGCAAAATGCTATTTCTAGATGGCTTCCCCTAAAGATTTGTGTCACTTTCTTTTCCACTATTTAAAATACTATATTTATTAACTTAAAACCTAGTTTAAATTACAAGTTTATTTATATATGTTGGTAATAAATGTCTTGAAATTCCAGTAAATGCTCCTCTTAGTATATGAAATTCTCATTTACATTATTTAAACAGGGAATGCGTGGCCTTTAGCTTTCATTTTTTAAAGAGTGAAATAAAAATTATATTGGATTTAAATAATTTTCTCCTATTTTTGTAAGGAAGAGATTGTGAGTAACTAATTGTGCCTTTAATATTTTATGACTGTTTCTTTTAGGTGCACAGTTGGATAAGATGGGATTCACAATTCTTAGAAAATGCATCAGTGCAGTTGAAACACGAGGTAACATGATTGAATCATTTTACTCATGAGAGGCTATAGGTATGTAAAATCTAAGGGTCATTTCAAATGCTTACTGCATGGTTAAGTTTTGTAGAATGAAATATATTAATGCAAAATGCACATTCTATGCATCAGAGATTCAGTTGTTCATTTACTCTGCCAGGGTGGGGTTTTCCTTTTTATTTATATGTTTCTCCCTTGCATTGAAACAAAGTCAGGGCTAAAATGAGAATCAGTAGAAGAATCAACAGTGTCGGACAACCAGTCTTAATCGCTTCTTGTTCACGCACTAGTGAGATATTTCCATCTTCCATTGTCTTGTTGGCTTCCAGTTTAAAAATCGGCGTCGTTAAGATATCATTTACTTAGAGTAAAATCCATTGATTTTAACTGTACAAATTGATGAGTTTTGACAAATGTGTATAGTTGTGTAACTACCACCACAATCATAGAAGATTCCTCTCTCCCCCCAGAATTCCTTTGTGCCCCTTTGCAGTCAGTCTCCACTCCTTCCTTGACCCTGGCAGCTACTGAGCTGCTTTTCATCACTTTAGTTCTTTTTTTTGTAAGCATTTTATATGAATGGAATTATGCAGTACATTGTCTTTTGAGTCTGGCCTCTTTGTTTAGCTTCTGAGATTCATCTTGTTGGGTGTAGCCCTAGCTCATTTCTTTTTATCGCTAGGTAGTATATAATTCTATGGATATACTGCACTTTGCTTATTCATCCACCTGTTGGTCATATTTAGGTTGTTTCCGTTTTAAACTTCAGGAAAGATAATCCCTCCCCATTTTGGTCCCCTGACTAAAAGCTCAAAGGTCTCTTGTTTAGAGTTCCTGAGGAAAAGCAGGGTCCTGGCGCTCTGCAGCCATTCCAGCAGACTTTGGAGAAACTAAATATTGAACTTTGCAAAACAGGCTCTTTCTGGAGGGTGGATTTCTCTTTGTTTAGAGTCTAGTGAAGTATGGATAAATTGAATATTTAATTCATTCTCATACGTTGTATATCCCAGTCCTACTTTGGATGACTTAGTGGGATGAAGCATTGCACTCACGTTTTCTGTCAAAACAAGGTCTTTGTTATAAAGCCAGGACTGCCACCTGTGAAATGAGAGCGCTGGCTAACAGATGAATACGAGCTGTTGTATGATTTGGGTATTTGCCCATCGATAATAAAAACCCAAGCCACAGAAAGCTTTTCTCCCATTCTCTCTAACAGTGGCAATTCAGGCTATGACAGAATTTCATTCATTTCAACCTGCACTGAGGTTGAGCTGACAAATTTCCTCTTTTTCCTAGTGCTTCAGAAATTTCCAAAATTGGGATTTTCATATCTCTCACTTCATCATTCATGTTTCTCCTTTTCCTGAGCTTCTAGGGAGCCTTCATTGTATCACTTGCATGCTTATTATTTTGGTAAATAAAATTCTTTCCCAAAAGGATATAATTTATACATACTTGCTTCTACCTGACCAGATAAAAAAATCTCTCTAGAATGCTTTCGGATTGGTCTATGTAGTTGTATGGAGTGTTCTGTACATTGAATGGAATATGTATAGTAGAATCTGCATGTATTGAATGCATTTTTATTATAAATATGTAAATTGTTGGATTTTCTTTACAGAAGAATGAGTCTACAGATTTTTAAGTTAGATTTTCCTCATTTAAAATAAAAGACAAAAAAGCATATGTTTTTCTTTGCAAATCTTTTGTTCCTAAAAGTCTTCCATTACTAAAGCCTTTTGCTTTTAATGGCGTAATAGACAAAAAATAGAGTTAAAAGACTCAACTGTCAGTTCATGTTATTGAACATGATGAGGAACCGTGTGGAATCTCTGAGCCTTTTATCCTAAATTTAAAAGTGCTCTCAGGGACTATTGCTCTTAATGATTTTCCCCACATCACCTATCATGGCTGTTGATTTTTTTTTTTTTTTTTTTACATGGTACAGATGTTGTTGCATAACTTCTTTTTTTTTTTTTAACATCTTTATTGGAGTATAAATGCTTTACAATGCTGTGTTAGTCTCTGCTGTATAACAAAGTGAATCAGCTGTAAGTATATATATATCTCCATATCCCCTCCCTCTTGCATCTCCCTCCCACCCTCCCTATCCCACCCTTCCAGGTGGTCACAAAGCACCGAGCTGATCTGCCTGTGCTATGTGGCTGCCTCCCACTAGCTATCTATTTTACATTTGGTAGTGTATGTATGTCCATGCCACTCTCTCACTTTGTCACAGCTTACCCTTCCCCCTCCCCATGTCCCCAAGTCCATTTTCTACATCTGCATCCCCATTCCTGTCCTGCCCCTAGGCCCTTCACAACCATCCTTTACTTTTTGTTTTTTAGATTCCATATACATGTGTTAGCATATGGTATTTGTTTTTCTCTTTCTGACTTACTTCTGTGTATGACAGACTCTAGGTCCATCCACCTCACCTACAAATAACTCAATTTCGTTTCTTTTTATGGCTGAGTAATATTCCATTGTATATATGTGCCACATCTTCTTTATCCATTCATCTGTTGATGGACACTTAGGTTGCTTCCATGTCCTGGCTATTGGAAATAGTGCTGCAATGAACATTTTGGTACATGACTCTTTTTGAATTACGGTTTTCTCAGGGTATATGCCTAGTAGTGGGATTGTTGGGTTGTATGGTAGCTCTATTTTTAGTTTTTTAAGGAACTTCCATACTGTTCTCCATAGTGGCTTTATCAATTTACATTCTCACCAACAGTGCAGGAGGGTTGCCTTTTCTTCACACCCTCTCCAGCATTTATTGTTTGTAGGTTTTTTGATGGTGGCCATTCTTACCAGTGTGAGGTGATACCTCATTGTAGTTTGATTTGCTTTCTCTAATGATTAGCGATGTTGAGGATCCTTTCATGTGTTTGTTGGCAATCTGTATATCTTCTTTAGAGAAATGTCTATTTAGGTCTTCTGCCCATTTTTGAATTGGGTTGTTTGTTTTTTTGATACTGAGCTGCATGAGCTGCTTGTAAATTTTGGAGATTAATCCTTTGTCAGTTTCTTCATTTGCAAATAATTTCTCCCATTCTAAGGATTGTCTTTTTGTCTTGTTTATGGTTTCCTTTGCTGTGCAAAAGCTTTTAAGTTTCATTAGGTCCTATTTGTTTATTTTTGTTTTTATTTGCATTTCTATGGGGGTGGGTCAGAAAGAATCTTGCTGTGATTTATGTCATAGAGTGTTCTTCCTATGTTTTCGTCTAGGAGTTTTATAGAGTCTTGGCCTTACATTTACGTCTTTAATCCATTTTGAGCTTATTTTTGTATATGGTGTTAGGAAGTGTTCTAATTACATTCTTTTACATGTAGCTGTCCAGATATCCGAGCACCACTTATTGAAGAGGCTGTCTTCTCTCCACTGTATATTCTTGCCTCTTTTATCAAAGATAAGGTGACCATATGTGTGTGGGATTATCTCTGGGCTTTCTGTCCTGTTCCATTGATCCATATTTCTGTTTTTGTGCCAGTACCATACTGTCTTGTTTATTGTAGCTTTGTAGTATAGTCCGAAGTCAGGGAGCCTGATTCCTTCAGCTCCGTTTTTCTTTCTCAAGATTGCTTTGGCTGTTCGGGGTCTTTTGTGTTTTGATACAGATTGTGAACTTTTTTGTTCTAGTTCTGTGAAAACTGCCATTGGTAATTTGATAAGGATTGCATTGAATCTGTAGATTGCTTTGGGTAATATAGTCATTTCCTCAATGTTGATTCTTCCAATCCAAAAACATGGTATATCTCTCCATCTGTTTGTATCATCTTTAATTTCTTTCTTCAGAGTCTTACAGTTTTCTGCATACAAATCTTTTGTCTCCTTAGGTAGGTTTATTCCTAGGTATTTTATTCTTTTTGTCGCAATGGTAAATGGGAGTGTTTCATTAATTTCTCTTTCAGATTTTTCATCATTAGTGTATAGGAATACAAGAGATTTCTGTGCATTAATTTTGTATCCTGCTACTTTACCAAATTCATTGATTAGCTCTAGTAGTTTTCTGGTAGGATTCTCTATGTATAGTATCATGTCATCTGCAAACAGTGACAGTTTTACTTCTTTTCCGATTTGAATTCCTTTTATTTCTTTTTCTTCTCTGACTGATGTGGCTAAAATTTCCAAAACTATGTTGAGTAATAATGGTGAGAGTGAGCAACCTTACCTTGTTCCTGATCTTAGAGGAAATGTTTTCAGTTTTTCACCATTGAGAAGGATGTTGGCTGTGTGTTTGTCATAGATGGCCTTTATTATGTTGAGGTAGGTTCCCTCTATGCCTACTTCCTGGAGAGTTTTTTTTTTATCATAAATGGGTGTTGAATTTTGTCAAAAGTTTTTTTCTGCATCTATTGAGATTATCATATGGTTTTTATCCTTCAATTTGTTAATATGGTGTATCACATTGATTGATTTGCATATATTGAAAAATCCTTGCATTCCTGAGATAAACCCCACTTGATCCTGGTTTATGATCCTTTTAATGTGCTGTTGGATTCTGTTTGCTAGTATTTTGTTGAGGATTTTTGCATCTATGTTTATCAGTGATATTGGCCTGTAGTTTTCTTTCTTTGTGACATCTTTGTCTGGGGTTGGTATCAGGGTGATAGTGGCCTTGTAGAATGAGTTTGGGAGTGTTCCTCCCTCTGCTATATTTTGGAAGAGTTGGAGAAGGATAGGTGTTAGCTCTTCTCTAAATATTTGAAATAATTCACCTGTGAAGCCATCTGGTCCTGGGCTTTTGTTTGTAGGATGATTTTTAATCACAGTTTCAATTTCAGTGCTTGTGATTGGTCTGTTTATATTTTCTATTTCTTCCTGGTTCAGTCTCAGAAGGTTGTACTTACCTAAGAATTTGTCCATTTCTTCCAGGTTGTCCATTTTATTGGCATAGAGTTGCTTGTAGTAATCTCTCATGATCCTTTGTATTTCTGCAGTGTCCGTTGTTACTTCTCCTTTTTCACTTCTAATTCTGTTGGTTTGAGTC